CTTGATTCTTACTGTTTGAGAAGAAAAAAATGTTCATTTTTTCAAAAACAGCTGATAGACAAATTGAGATCTTTAATATCTTTGTTGTTATTTTATATATAGTTTATTAATAAATGTAAGTACTGAAAACCTAGTTTTTTAAACCACAACGTAGAAAAGAGAAAAAGCCTCTCCTCTATTTGTAGAATTAAAAACTAGAGTCGATTGCGTACTTGAAAAGACCTTAAGAAAGAGAAGATCTTGACAAGTACTAGTCAACGCCCTATTATGACAATTGCATGAAAATCACTCAACCTGGCACTCACGGATTTACTCATCCATCACACTTCATTCTCAACATGAAAAGTACATCGCGCGTAACAATTCAATGTGAACCGAATTGCCTTCAAATGGAACTGTCGCAGCAATGAACTTATCAATAAAATATTGAAACATCAAAAAACAATCTTACAATCTAGAAAAAGTTGAAGGAAAGAGGGCGATATTCACCTTTTACGTAACGAAGAAGAGACCTCCGAAGAGGAGGCTCTCGAGTTACAGCTTCTTGAAATAACAAACCCTCTGAAGTTGGTTGGAGGATGAGGGGGCGTTCGTGCAATCATCCCAAAACCGCAGAAGGCGCGTCTTGGAAGATTGCTGGCGAACCACATTCCCTTTGTTGACCAGGGCTTCTCTCAGGCAGTCATCAAGGACCCTCTGGACTCTGGAATTGGATCTTGAAGCACACGAATTGGCGCTTTATGTGGCTTTTTACCCGAAAAAAACAAGACATCTGAGCCTCGCCGAAGAATTCGTGCGAGTCTACAGAGACGCTTGACAATTAAGGAAAAAAAAAAAGGAAAAAAAAAAGGAAAAAAAACTAAGCGCACGAAATTGAAAACCGCGAGCCACAGCAGCCGATGGGAGGAATTTCGGAGTAAAAAGGGCGCCTGCTTACACCGAAAATACGGCATAGCCTCGCCAAAAAATAATAACATGAAAAAGTAAAAACGAAGTCAAGCCTCGTCCGACCGTACTCGGGGACCGCGGTTTCGTTGAGCTGAGGCTTGACTCTTCACTCCGATCGAGAAAAGCTCGACCGTAGCGGAATCCCTGATAACCGAATCATCATTTGGCTCTTTGATGGATGTCATCTTGGTTTAAAAAGCTAAACACTTGGGAGAAAAAGGCACAAATTCTGTTTTCCATTGGTGAAAATGAACTGGATGAGGATGTGCACAGACAATTCAAGTGAGTTATGATGAATGTGAGGATGAAATTTTTTTTACAATCTTCGTCGTAGATGTATATATCAATACAGTACCATTTACAATCAATACCCTTCATTTTTTCTTTTACTTGCACAATGTTGTGTGCAAATCGTAGATATATGTGTAACATTTATATAAACATGTAATTTATATATCATATGTCGTTTGGAAATAAAATGAAGTTCTTGTACAGTGTCAAAAAGAATAAATAATTTCTTTTGTATACATGTACGGGGGTGTTATATAATATTTACCGCGAGATACGAGAATATGCATACGAGTGCGGTCGCACACGCATGAATATGTCGCCGTTACCTCGCACATACCATAGTTATATAATAGATATTTATATTAAATATGTATGCGTTACGAACAAAGAAGCGAATTATGTACACGTGGTTAGTAAATAAAAAAAAATCAAGTGCGAGGCACCTGCTTGTTTATTTGGTGTACGACGGAAAAGACGGTTTGATCCACTTTTCTTGACAAAGCCGATCAAACCGCTCGAAATCGCCGGCAATGTAGCGTATAACGCGGATGCATATAGCAAGCAGATGCTTCATTGATGTGAGTTAGAGAGTGTAGATTGAGAGAAAAAAAAAAAAAACTACCGTAGGAAGCGTGGCATGCAAGACGAATTACGCAAAACGGTCAATATGGGTTAATGTTTTTCTTTTTAATATTCAACATCGAGTCGAGACGTAATAATTTCAATTGTTTCGATTGATTTTAATCTCGTGATGGAGAAATACGTCAGTCAAGCGAGAAAAAAAAATAAAGTGGAATTCTAGAATGAGGCGACTGAAAACAATTACGGCCCAAAAAATCTAAAGAGCCAAGGTGAAGGAACAATGAACGGAAAGTAAAAACACGAGGAGAGGAGTGCTTAAGAAAGAAGAGAGAGAACAAATTCAGAGCGTGCAATGAAGGAAAGTAGGAAGGCTGGCAAGACCAGTCGAGTGTTTGCTCTCGCTCTCCCGTCGCAATCGTCCATAATTATTTCCCTTTCACCAACTAACTCCTTGGCGCGCCAATTTTTTCAGGCCTTCGCTAGAACTCTTAGAATTCCATCGGTTGTATTTTTCTACAACGACTGAGTACCCGGAATAAAAAATTTTTTTTTAGACATTCGCGAACGACTCGAACAAAGGTATTAGCGTCTCGACGCGGTGTGAATGTTAGTTTGAAGGTTGTTCCTTTTTTCTCTTTATATACTCTGTAAGAGCTTTCTTTCATATCCCTCCGTTTATTAACTACTACGTGTGTTTAGTAAGAAAACTACAGAAAGAAAAAAAAAAAAAAAGAAAAAAATTGGACCAAGTATAAAACTACGAGGTGCTTATTTATTTCATTTTTTTTTTTGCAATTTTTTGAAATATATTCAGAGAGAAAAAAAACTCGTGGGATCTGGGGGGATGTTTATTCATGTCGGTAGATTCGACGAGCAAAGTTTGCTCTCGTTAAAACCAATCGTCGGATTTTGAACGAGAGGGCCGCCTCCCTCGTCGGATCTCCCGCTACTCACAACATTTAGTTAAGAAATTTATTTATATCCTACGGCATTGCTGACAACGTGGTGCAACTCTTGTGTGTGTATGTTTGGATTTATTTTACGCGTGTAAAATTTCACTCAAAATACAAGGTAAGAAATCGAATGGAAAGACTTGAAAAACAATGGTTCATTTCAATTGAACACGCGACGCGATTTAAAAGATACTTAAGTTTGCCATTCACATGTTGGTTTTAAAAAGTCTGTTCAAGGTAACATTGTCTCTGGCGGGTTGGAAAAAACGACCTCCGCCATCAATGCGAGCAAGCGATACAATCATTCCTTTGTACTGTAAAATAGGGACGAATAGATGCGGTGTGATGAATCGTTTGAAAATCTACAAGCGAGAACATGGTATTGACGAATCTCCTCTTACCGGCAATACGGAAAGAAATGATAATGCAAAAGAGAAAAAAAAAAAAACACCGCACTGGCATTGATGAGAGAGTTCGCTCCTCTCTCTTCGCTATTACCTTGGATCTCTCACGTTGAGACCGCCACCGATTGTGCGATCACCTAGCATGGGACCTAACGGTAAAAAAGAAAAAAGAATTCATTACTCCGCGAGTGCGCACTACTTGATCAATTCAGAGTATATCATCATTTAGGGGCCTCTAAATGCAAACCTCGAGTCCTCGGCAGAGTTGAAAAAAACTCCAGCCAAGGACTCTCTATGCGGTTTATTCAGCTCAGTTCCCTCCGCATTTGCTGGCAGCTGTGTGCGCGAGTTCACTACCGGCAGATGCGGTCCGACCCATGAGGGGAACACCGAGGCCCAAGGGGAAGAGAGAACGTAACAAAAAAAACAGGCGCGACGTTGTCTTTCTCGCGATTGTCGTGTGACTTAGCTCGGATCTGGGGATTGATTTCGCAACTGGTACGGTTCGTTGATCCCACTTTATTTGGGTCGCGGGTTCACTTATCTTTCGTAAGAGCACCGTTACACGCGCCGTATCTCTCTCCACCTTTTTTTTTGTGCTAGGAATCTTTCCGACTTTGCTCGGATGATGTACATATTTCTTTGTGAGCGAACGCTGAACTTGGAAAATAAGAAAGCTCTCCTTCCTAAGCGCGGGGGAAGGGCCACCGAAGGCCGACGAGTTTGCGTGGGAACGCTCCTCTACCGCGGCCGAATGTTTCGTTCGTCTTTGCTTTTCTTTCTTTTGCCGGCAGCGCGTGTTTCTTACGAAATTCCTTGGCAACCTACGGGTGAAAGAAACATTGCTTTGGGAATCGCTTCGTTTGCCGCGGCTTCGACGAAATCTCAAATTGAAGAGCGAAAAAATTTTTGGTATCACGAGGAAAAAAAGGGGATGGCTGTACCGGTGATTAAAAGCTGCTTTAGAGCTTTGAGCGATGGCGTCTTGTGAGTCATTGATTTCGTGCGATGAGAGAGAGGACGTTGTAATCGAGCTTGACAACTTTTTCAAAATCGAATTACAATCGATAGAAAAAAAGGGGGGCGTCAAAGGAGGCCGATGCGAGCCGGCGGAGGAGATATATGCGCGGTCGCAATTTTTGTCGTCGTCCTAAGCAGACCCCTTTTTTTTCGTGAGAAAAAAAAAATAAATAAACAAATAAAAAAACAAAATGTTTATATGTATATTATTGGGAATAAAAATTTACTTGACATGATTATTGTATCATACGTACTGTGTTTATATAATCCTTTCAATAAACGCGACTAAATGCTGAAAAAGAAACAGAAGAGAAACAAAACGGCAAAGAAATATGTAAGATGCATTATTTGTCTTTTACATGAGACAAAACAAAAGTTATTGATTTCGACATAGACATAAAGTTGTATATATATATTATATAGTCAATAATAATCGCAATTAAAAAAATCAAAGAAAGATTTTAGTCAGAGACTATGCCACGCTTGAAAGAATTGTGTTGCTCAATAGTTGTTTGAATGTTGCACCAACCTGCCTAACAATGGAATAAGTTTTGGTCGCCGCAGCTCCTCGAGTAGTGGACACTCGTGACTTTAAATTGTTTTTTTAATGTTTAATTTAACTTAACTAGTGAACGATTTAACGACAAGATTCAATATATTCATAAACTAAAAATAAAAATTTCTTTTATGATTGACGAGGTTAACTTATCAAAAAATTGATTTAAAAAAATTAAGTAAACCGCGTCCACTGGAAACAAGGTAGCCAACGACGGCTCAATGGTAATTGGCATGGAGAGCCTACCTTGTGAGTCCCTTTGAGCTTGTGCGGCGTCGTGGGCTGCTAGGAACACTTCATCTTGCTGACCTGGTGGTATGGCTGCAGCACCGACTCCTGGATTACTCCTGTCACCGCCCATGTGCCATGGTTGTACACCTGTACCAGTTGACCAATCCGAAAAAATTTCCCGATTTTATGAATTAGCGTACAATTGTGTAAATTGTGTCATGTCATTTTTTTACTCATGAAAATATTTTAAGGTGATACAAGTACAGAACTATTTAGTTGCAATCTATGTCGAGTCAAGAACCTCCAAGTACTGTGATGACTACATTTTATTTTCCATCATATGTATCCAATGCAGTTTCGCACATATTACATGTAGTAGGTGAATTAACAGTTGTATAATGTATAATTCATTATAATGTTACAGATTTCGAATATAGCATGTTTCATACCGTTTCCACTCTGCATAAACAGATTAAATATATTTAAGCAGAAGGATAAAGTATGAATTTGATCTACCAACGAAGCGAAGAAGAAGAGCTAATTAAAGTCGCCCAACTCTATTAGACGTTGGAATAATTCATTCATTCGAGGAATGTATTACAAATAAAATCGAACACTATTGGCACAGACGAAACTGATTTGAGAATCTCTATGAAACTTTTTTCTTAGTAAAGTTTCTTCTAACAATGTTTAACTTTTTCAAATAGAACTGTAAGGTCGAACGATTGACTCCATACATCTCGGAGGCCTGGCTCGTACTGATGCCCAGATGTAGAATGGCTTCAAGGGATTGTCTAATTGAGTCTAAGCTAACCTTCCGGGCCTGATTGGTGGCGAGCGAGCTCAGCAACTTGCCCACGTCGACGTCAAAGCTGCCCTTGGGTAACGCTAGGAAGTGCTGTCTGACGTCGACGCTGGCATTTATTGCTGTGCAACGAGAGCGCGTGGGAACTAAGAGCTGGGGAGAAGCTTGGTGATCATGACGATGTACCAACGCGCGCGACCAACCTGCAACGAGAGGAGAAAGCCCAAGCTCTACTCTCTTTTGCCGGATGGTTTTATATTTAGGACATAGAAATTTTATCAAGATATACATAGTAGGTCGTGATTTACGTCATTGCAATTATATAAAATTTCATAAGGTCAGATTACCATAATTGCACTCAAGAAGATCTAAAATTTATATTTTGATAAGACTTTTAATACTAATGAAAATTCTGTTTACGATGAAAAATTTTATACATCAATGAAATGGTTTATAATAAAATTAGCTTTATCAGAATTGTTATTTACAACTTGATCGATTAGGTAAATGCTATCAAGATTACAATATCAAATACAATATGTTACATGAGTCGAAGGTTTTTCTTGAATTTTGATTCACCTTATTTATCAAGACGTAAAAAGAACAATGGAGATAAAACTGATAAGTATTGCTATGAGATCATTATTTTGTAATTAACAAGAAACAGAATTTTTTTTAAGTATACCGATTTTGTAGTTGTAATCTATGAAAGAACTCAACATTACTCTCACATTAATAGTAAAAAAGTAATCAAAATTTCAACTACACTACATGGGAACACAATACCTGCTTTCTTTGAAAGTACAGGGTTATGAAAGTTATAATAATTTACTTTCACAATGCAAAGTGAGCAACGCGTTTTAAGTCTTTTCAGTACTTGGTCTCGACATAGTAAAAACAAGGTAAAAAAAAAATCGAACGAGAAAAGTAACCCTAAATGGTTAAGAACAAAACGATGCTTACCGCCGTGTTGAGAAGGATCATGACTCGGGCCTGGCCTAGTGGATTCCTGTTCATCAAGTTCTCTTAAATCATTCATGTCATCGTCGAGGTTCGTCAGATCCTCGACGCTTTCTTGGTCGTCCATATACTCAGACTTTGGTTGAATCATTTCCTCCGTAGGCTCGGCCTTCTCGTGCGACATCTAAATCAAGACAACGAAGCAACAAATGTTATGTTATTGAAGCAATTACGATTGTAACAGGCTTTAGGGCACTATTCTTTACCTGCATCATTTCTTCCGTAGGGGGCTTGGTGAGCTGTTGCATGAGCGCGGACCTGCCGATCGGATCCGCTTGATCGGCGTGTGACTTATCTTCGGCAACCGGTGCAACAAGAGCTGGTGCGGTCAGGTCAGATGAATTAGAGGCGTCATGGTTGTTATCAATAGAGCCAGTTGTATCTTCGTTGCCCAAGCTTCTCCTTCTCGTTCGCTTTCTTCTCCTAGTTGGACTTTGAGAACCTTCCCTGTAACGTACAAGAGAGAAAATTATAGTTACAACAGTTTGTCATTAGCCACGAGTGACAAAAACTTGAGTGGAAAGTTCTCATCTGTACCTTGAGGAGAGACCCCTGAGCTGTGGACTGGCCGAGCTTTCAGGCAGATCACTAACGGAGACCTGCGACAAACTGGACCTAGGAACTTTGCTGTTCTTTTCGATCGTCAGACCGGAAGACGCGTGCGGCGGAATGTCGGCGGCTACCGTAGAGGCGGATGCTGCGACTGCGGACGATGCAGTGGCAGTGGCGGCTTGTTTCGAGGACCTGGTGTTCTCGGCTTTGCTTGTCGTTGTGCTGCTCATGCTGCTGGCACCACCTGTTCGGTTGTCCGACAGCCCCTTAATCTGTAGTGACTCAGCAGCTTTCAGCAGTGCCGTCAGTTGCTCTTGTGAAATGTTCACCTCGCCTCGGTACATGTACTCCATCATAGCTTTTAACTCTTTGAACTTGACATCCTTAAGGATGAAGACCGGGTGCTTATCATAATGTTCCGACAGAAGACCCTGTAAAGTAAAAAATAATCGTTGCAATCATTGTTGGTTTAATAAAAATTTTCCTTTTAATTTTTTTAATTTCACAAGTGTTTTGAATGTATGGTTCTATAATTTCAACAGTTTTTTGACATCATGTCTAATGCACTGCATTTCAAAGTAATTGCATCACAAGTGCATCGTTAATTTTTAGTCGATATTGATAATGGAATTTAAATTTGATTTGAAACAAATAAAATTTAGCTATCAACAAGATTGAAGAAGTCATTCGAGGCCGTTTTCCACAAAATAATCGTTTTAGACACAACGAAAAGAGTTAACAATAGTTGAGTATGAAGCGCGTCCTACAAAAGGTTCAACGCTGGCTGGAAAAAGTAGATAAGGGGGAGAGAACAGGTTTGCGGCGTCAGTCTCCCCCACTCCGGGCGTCCAGTAATGTCCCAGGCACAAGTGCTCTGGAAAGCGGCCATCTTGCTTTCCCTGGGTACAAGTATTGATCAGGAGAAGCAGCGCGAGAGAGAAGGTAAGCTAGCACAGGCGGTGGCCCAAGCCAGAAAACTAGAGAATCTGCGCTGGTGGAGGGGGCACGCCGCGAGAAGAGGGACCAAGCTATGGCTCTGACTGGGCGGATAGGCGCAATACACATAGCTGTACTCCGAACGCTGGGCGCCATTTTGTTCCGAAAGAGCTACTGCTGGTTGCTGCCTCATTTTCCTCCAGCTATATTTTCATTTGGTATTGATTTTACCGAGGAGCAGGGAAACTGCACAACGATCGATACAGAGATGCTACTATATCGTACCAAGAATTATTACCTTGTTTGACTAATAAATATTTACTTTGCAGAACTATCGACTGGGATATTATGAATGTAAATTCCAAGACAATATTAATACTGATGGGCAAATTTTTTTGTATAATTGCAAATTTATCTAGGACATTTATGTTACAAATAACTTTTAATAATGCAAAGAATTGGAGTTATTCAAATTTTCTGATTGAATATAATGAAACTGTTTGCAAGCCATTAAAAACATAGTTTCATAAAATTTGCACAAATTAGGTCAAAATTATTGATCCAACTATGTTGGATCTCTGCCAAATGATATATGAAAGCAAAGGGAATACCAATTTCAGGATTTATTACCATACATTCAAAATACTAATGAATAATGTAACATTGGTCAACTTATACACTGGGACGTGCTAATAAATATTTGAAGTTGACATAACAATGTTACGATGACATATATTTTTAAATGTTAAAAAAGAAACTTACCTCAAAGTATGGGCTGCAGGCGGAAAGGACTACTTTGTGGGCCTTTAGATACTTCCCTTCCGCCGCCAACGTACAGTCAACCAGAGTCCCGCTCTCCAACAGCGTATCAAAATTCTGAATGAGTGTGGACTGGTGATTGTTCCACCTCAGACAGAACTGTTGGTCGTCCTCCATCTCGTTTCTGTACAAGCCAAAAAACAAAACTTGCCCTTAGTCGTACTCTTGACAATTACAAGTCCTCGCTACCTCCTAGCTATTCCCGATTCACTCAGTCGTGTCGCACACATTTAAATATTCAGTTACCGCGTTGGACAACAACAAACGGAACGCGTCAACGGATTTGGTCCGTACAAGTTAACTGCGACTAGTTGAAAGCGCGAACTTAGTCGAGGGGGAGAGCGTACGCAAGAAAGCTCCGGTTCGTGGCGCGGAAGCTTCCAAAATGGCCGAGATGATGCAAGCGCGTCGGGTCTCGGTCGAGCGGTGGCGGCGGTACGCCTTTCCCTTTGTGCGTTGCTCTGTCTCTCTTTGGTTAACGATCGTAGGTACAAACGCGAGAGACGAACGATGGGTAAAATGGGGGATGACAACATACAACCCGACGCCCCTTTTCCTCGATGTTTGCAAGCTGCGCATGCGCCGTTGGGCTTATTTTATGTTTTTTTTTTTTTTCACGTTCCCGAGTCGCGAGGGGAACTTTTTGGGCTTGCCTTCGAAGGGGAAATGAAGCTGCTGCAACGCTGCCAAGTTGCAAAATTGCCAGCTAACGATCGTGGGCGGAGTGCCGCATAGATGCTGCGTTGGGCCAAAAAACCCTTTCATGGTGTGCTTTAATGGCTGGATGGGGGGATCTTGCAAAAATTCTATTTTATTCAAAGTTCTGTTTTATTATAAATAAAGAAAAAAAAACTTTCCTTAAGACCATTTCAAAAGATAATTAGGAGTACGTAACTAAAAAATTAGAATGTTGTATTACAACCATCGCTTAGCTAAACAGGAAGCAATCTAAAAGTTAATTTCAAGACTTTATCGAAGATGTAGGAACTATCATGATTTACCATTTGACGAGTATTATTTCGAAAATATTGTTAAAAGATGAAAAAACTATTTTGATATACCTATTGACGAGTATCAATTCGAAAATATTATTAAAAAATTAATTTTAATAAGTTCGATTACAACTTAACTTGATCTTACAATCTCATATTTACCGCTTATCATAGTAAAAATCATGGGGCAGTTATACCTAAACAAATGTTGAATCTTGAATAAAAAAAGTAAAACTGCTAATAGGAATTAACGCAATAACATTTCATTAATCACTCTAGCACATCAGCCGGCTACACTAAGAGCTCAATGGCCGGACAATGTAGCGCAGCACGCGATCGATAAGCGAAGAAAAATACTACTTTATTTCTCTCTCTCTCTCTCTCTCTCACGTGCATGTGTGTAGTACGAAGGAGGGGCCGCCAACCAACACCGGCACGCGCTTGTTATTGCATAATGTATTTATAAATGTGCTCAGCTTTCGCGCGCAACCGGCTCTTATTAAATGACTCGGAAATTCACAGCCCCAAGGTCTATCAATTAGTCGATAGGTATGCTAAAGTGGACTTGTCCAAAAAGCGCAAGAGCTTTAACACTGCTTGGGCGAGTCCACTGCAACAAGATAACTTGGCGTAATCAATTCAAATCGATCAAGTATTTAACATTGTACGAAATGTTAATATTGAAATTAGCTCTATCAAGTTTAAGAAATAAAATACACGGCACGAAATAAATGGGGACACGGGCTTGTATGTATTGCTCAGCAACGAGGTAGGAAAAGCTGCAAAGGGGCAGAGAGAGGGGGAAAATGGGGGAAGTGAGAGAAAGAGAGAGCGACTTCACATGAGAAGGCGAAGGAGAGAAACTCAACGGCGCGCGACTCGCGGCAACGCAGTACCGCGACGAAGACAATATGGCCGCCGAACGAAGTTGAAGCCGTCCACAATGGCGACGTAGGCGTTGTTCCGTTCACGATGTCTGGGAGACGTGCGGCATGTCGTATCTTAATCGCACTAATTTTAGACGCACAACCAAGACGTAATTAACGTACATGAACTCAAACGACGCAATAAAGGTACACGACTGACGCGTTGTCGTAAAAAAACTATGCTAACGATTAAAGCGCTACACTTTCATGCACCGAAAATTTGCAGGGGCTGGGGGGGAAAAACAACGAAGTGCACAATAAAACGGACAGACACAAGACTCACCTCTAATCGACGCTAAAGTACGGAATTATCACAGCCAGGCGCGTCGTCTCTTGGAGGAACGACACCAACCCAGGGAGAGGGGTGTGTGTAAAAAAACTGCCCTCAGAGTCCAGCTGTCGTATCAGTAAGTAAATCCTTGAAGCCAACGGAGTCTCTCCTCAATTAATGTGCGAACGCACCGCGGACGCGCGTACCCGTGTAGGAACTCACGACGTCCCCTCGCTCAGCAATCTCAGCTCGTTCTGAGCAACAATGGCGCGGCGCGTACTCCTTGCCTGCGCGGCTCGTTCGTCTCTTCCAGCCCGCCCCACCACTACTCGCTTCTTTCTCTTTCCCACTCTTTGACGGTCACGAACGCGTCACTGCGACCGTCACGTGACTTAATTTGCCTGTGCCTGGAGAGCGTAAAACTACCGAGAGTGACGGTCTGGAAAACGGTCAGGAGTAAGTGACCGATGCGCAGTCGCTTGGGAGATCGGTGGCGCGAGGGGGAGAGCGAAAGAACGAAGGAGAGGCCAGGAAAATGGTGGCGATGGAAATTCGCAGAATCTAAGACTCCCGGTTGGACCGATTTTATGGCTTTGCCGATTTAATACAGAGGTGAGATTTTAGGGAGAAAATTTTGTACATCTCGTGAAAATTTTTTTCATGTGGTTTGCACGTCGAGATACATTGGCAGATTTGCACACGTTTATCCTACCACTTAATAAAGTAACGAAATTTTAACGGTAGGCATGTTGACGCGAGTGGACAAATTACGATAAGCTGAATATCTCGCCAAAAACTAATAGTCATAAGGGGAAAGAGAGCATGGAAAGTTTGGTGTCTTTTTTTTTTTTTTTTTTATAAATTGTTACAAAATTAGCCGGCATGCGATGATGCAAACACGAAGAGAAAAAAAAACAAAGAACCGATAACTAAAAACTCGTACTGATCCGCAGAGTAGATTAGAGGGAGGGGGGGTGTTTGTGTGCGACTTTACTGTCTTAAAAGAGCTGATCACAATATATACATACACGTATTTGCATGTGTGCAGAGAAGGAGCGCTATTGTTGGGGTTGTAAAAAAAACTTGAGAACCGTATCTCGTCCTTTTCCTTTCAAGATTGAGAATATTATAACCAACTTCATATAACATTACGCGCAATTACGTAACAAAAACCAACATCAATTGGCACACGAGATAGCATACCTCAACTTAGGATTTTCCATTGAATTAAAATTTAAAAATAAAATCTTTTTCGTACGTGTAAAGTGGGGACGAACGTTGGGTAGCAAGAGAGCAAATCATAACGTAAGCGCGGAAAAATTCGCCGGCACATGGCGCAACAACGGCCGAGGCTGGACGGACGTGCAGCACAAAGTAATGGCGGCCGTTGTTGGCTCCGCAGACAACATGGCGAAAAAGCTGGGGAGGAAAGTCGTTGTAGACGACAGGCGCGCACGAGAAAACGGTCCGACAGCCATCACCGTTACTCGACCTCCCGAGCATCGCTATATGGGTACACGTATAACCGATTTTGCGCATGTAACATATCAATGCTCTTCCCGATCTGGTACAACGAAGGCTTCGCTATCGACACTTTCTTATACAAGCTGAGAGTACATTGACCCAATAGTTGTCAACGCGCGACACTGAACAGAGGATAATCGGGAGAGTAGCGTAAAAATAAAAATATACACCACGAGGTTTTTCGTACATTCCAAGTGTCAAAGAAACAAACAACGCACATACCTTCAACGTTGGCACAGTCTTCTCAGTTTTATCACAGAGTGCCCAGGATGACGGGTCCTGAGCAGGATTCGGAACCGCGTGTGCAGCCCCGGCACGCCTTTGCCCAGTGGTTGCTTTAGTAGAGCTGACAGCTATGCGCCTGTTGTACCCTATAAACCTCGAATGATTCAGGAGTCTCTCTCTCTCAGCCTTGAGTCCGCACGCGTCTCACGTCCAGCGTCGTTTACAAGTCGTAGCCCTCTGTCTCTGTCTATGTGGTTGGCCCCAGCGCCAGCCTTAGGTGCTGCACTGCCGATACCGCTGCTTCTTGCGCCGTAGACGAGTGCGCAGCCCTTTCGCGTCCTGCCAGGAGCGTAGCGAGTTACACTTATTTCCTTTGACGTTCCTTTCTCTCTCAAGCTTATTATTTCTTAACGATATGGTTTTCGTCGTGAATATTTTTTTTTTCCTTTGTTTTTCAGCTTAAAAACTAATGAACGACATGCAAAGACTTTTTTTGCCAAAACGGCTGTACGGAGCTTTTTGTCGTTGAAAGTGCTGAGATTTGAGGAAACAATGAGCGCAGTGTACGGAGCTGCGACGTTAGGGAAATATCGATTTATATGACCAGGATTATACGTAGAAGGGTTTCCTTTTTTCCTTTATTTGTTGGGTTCCCCGTCCTCTCTTGCCTGCTTGTTTTATATTTGCACTGTATGTACCCGATTTCGGCTGTACATGTGCAGTCTGAAGAGGAAACCTTTGTTCTGCCCGTGCATGTGTACGTGGGACCCTCTTTCTATACTATATACGTGTATTTGTATGGGGTTAGATGAGTTAAAGATACATACACGTATATAACACGTTCGCTGAAGTATGTACGTGTATTGTACCAATTGTATGTGTCCCAACTTCGTCTCAACTTCCCCAACAACTCAACTCAACACGTGCTGAAGAAATTTCGAGACTCTTTTCTCGGAAGGTTTTACGATTTAACTTGCTTTGTTCTCTATACCGCAAATTCTATGAATCGTGGCGTGGTTTGTATTTTAACACTAATGAAAACGTGGAACTGTTTAATTTAAAAATATTACAGATTTTGTCATATTTTATTTTTTTCATAATTTACAAAACGTTCTGTAACACTTGATTGCGGTACGTTACGATTTTTGCAATAATTTTTCCACGTCAAATTCGAACAAATAAAATATTTAATACGAAGCCACGTGCTCCGTTCCCTGTAGACCAACGAAGTAAATTTATCTTTGTATGCTATACTCGAGGTGAAAAATGGCGGTACTATATTCCTGATTTACTTCGAAGTTACTTCATGCATTTAGCTTATACACAAAAGAAAAACCCTGATCAACTTAACATTGTCTACAATGTGATTTTTCCATCAAGTGAAACCCAAAATTTGATTGTCATTGATTGTGTACCCAGTAATATCAACAAATTGTTATCAAATCGTGTTATATTAATACCAACATTTATTGTACAATTTTTTTTTTTTTTTTTTTTTTTTTTTATATAACGTAAGAACGTAAAACCTCGAGATTTTATGCATTCGTTGCATGAAGAAAATGCTGCAACGAGCCAGGTGTGCGAATTTTTTGAGCTAAGCTTTGTTCGTAGTTCGTATACTTGAATGTGTGTAACGTAGTGTCTTTAGGTACGTTATAAAATATGTATGCCAGTGTACTTTTATGTTTTGCTTCAGTGACGTGGGGCTGATTAGATGCCAGATGGTTTCTATGTGTAAAATTCAACTTCAAGTACTTATAAAACCAAACACCGCGCAAAACCTAAAGAAATTTTTGAAAAGTATCAACTGGTTAATTTTCTCTTCTTATTACCGTAAAAAACGATTTTTACATATTAATGACTAACTGATTCGCAGAAATGTTTGTGAGAATAACAAAACAATCAAATTAAAGTAGGCTTTATTTTACACATAACCTGTAACGAAATATTTTTTCATGAGAACATAGTGGTGATCAAAAAATTCGAAACAACGGACCACACCTACTTAATGCAGTGAAATAAAAATAGATATTCTTTGTCTCAAATCCTGCAGAAGGACACACAGTTAATTATTTTTCCTTTATAAAAAAAAACTAATCGAATTTTTTTTTGTATCTATATTTTATTAAGCATTACAGAGCAGTAAATTACTGAAAAATCAAAAGAAAAAAAATTTATTTCATTATTACCATTTTATAAATAATTTTTTTCCACCATATTGACAAGTTCAATTTATTCGAGGTAGTGAATTTTAAGGTAATCTGAGATATTTTCGATTATAATAGTAATAATTGTATAGTTGGTTTAACCACCAGTTTTTATTTCAAAGAAATGGACATTATTTCATAAAAATATTTGTAATAACAC